CGAAATAATTTAGGTCGAAATGGTTAACTGTTAAATTACGATCAAACGGTTTACAGGCATGGTGTTCTATACGTCTAAAATTCCTAGATTTTATCCTCTTTGAGTTTGTGCTAGACGTAGGCTTATGAGAAGCTCCAGAATAGGATAGAACAGTTGTTACTTACTATTTGGTATTTGAAGAATGCTAGTCGGTGGACTATGCTCCATTGGGAGTAACAGTCGTAAGTAAGTAAGTAATTTAGTCTTTGAAAACTTTTTGGATTGTGTCTTTATGGTATAGAATTCAGATTAAAAATAATTTCTAAATTTCATCATGGTTGCCTACCTTACTGTTTATCATTTTGTTTGTTAATTTTACGACATTACTTTTTTAATATTCAGTAGCTTATGTTTTATTCAGTCATCTTTAGGTCTAGAATTGGACAAAACGTAAGTTTTTATAGCAATGAACTGTTATTCTGCTATATTTGTACTTTAATTTCATTGTTTCAGTTTGTTATTTCCTACTTATATTAGTATTTTCACAGATTGAAATCATGAGTCAATTGAAGCTAGACCACCATGGAAAATCTGGAAGCACTGGACGGCCGTCTCGTTCTAGTACGGGACTCCTCGGCAGTGCGCATCCACGATCCCGCACCACGCGGGGCTCGAACCCGGGACATACTGGCTTCGCGCGCGAGCACCTAACCATTAGACCATTGAGCCGGCATCCAGTGGTGTTAATGTCTAACTTCAACCAATTCACGAAGTTGCACCACCGTACACCATTGTCTTCAGTGAGTTGATATCTCACAACAGACCTGATTGAACTCCACTGGTAACGGTTTCTCACTAGAACTCCAGGAGTATCTCTTGAAGTCAGTCACTAGTGAGCAGATGATTATTATCAGAAGGGGTTTGTGGAGATTTGAGAAATTTCACAGATTGAAATCATAAGTCAGCTGAAGCTAGACCACCATGGAAAACCTGGAAGCATTGGACGGCCGTTTCGTCTTAGCTTCAATTGACTCATGATTTCAATCTGTGAAATTTCTGAAATCTCCACAAACCCTTTTTGATCATATTAGTATTGTTCACCTCATTTGGTATTCATGATTTGCGCTGTCAATTGATACATTTTCTACTATGAACGTATCATCTATGTTCAAAGTCGAGCGCTTAATTTATTTTCTATTAATCTCTAGTGTTTCTATTTGATTGAACAATTTATTGGTCTCTGATTTAAGCATAATTTTTACAGACCTTTCCGTATTCATTTAGTTAAAAGGCATGATTTCTATATGATATATCCGACTGTGTAATTGACTCTAGGAATTTTACATGAGACCCCCTTGTTGTATTAGAATTCTCAAGAAAATTTTATATTTATGGTATAACCGGTAGTAGTCATTAAATATAATTGACTTAAATGAACGTCTTTTTGTGTATGTATGACAAAGGCATTTCCAACCGGTTGGGGAGACCTGAAATATTCTTGTAAAAAAGAATAAATGAGCCTTGAAAATACTAAAAATTATTTTATCGAGTTTCTCAGAAACATCTAGAAAGTGGAGGGTCACGTGTCACATTTCTGATTAGATGATTACCTATCTTCAGAAGAGTTCAAGAATTCTTTAAGTTAGTTCAAACCACGGATTTAAATGAAATGATAAACATTGAAAAGATAAGTAAACTCTGAATTGCTGTTAACTGGTTGAAAGTAGTCGACAAGAACCACTATTCATATTTATTGACATACATCAATAAGGCGTACTTAAAATCTTGAGAAAACTTTTAATTTCTGTAGGACTTCAACTAGTATTATTTAGTTTCGTTGTCTGAGGCCTTACGAATGAATTTTTTGAGCTGTGACTGACCTCCTATAATAGTAAGATACACTGATTATTGAGTAGTGAACACTGGTCCTTTTAATACAGATTGAATTTTGTCCGTAATTTAAAATATAGACACTAATCTAATTGACTCGACACAGCCTGCGCTATTCTGAGAATTCAGATGATGGTAAACAATGGTCAGAAAACTCTAAACTTCTGTTTTTTTTCTCAGCACTGCACACCTATGACTCTGATAGGAATCAAACAACTAACGTTAGGTTTTATGATGAGAGTTAATGTTTAGCAACCAGTAAGTTGGAGTTATTCGATGTTATCGGCATATATTTGTGCACTAATGATAACGAAAAAGTCTTATGGTGTTCCTTATCTCCTTTCCAAAATGAATTTTAACTTATATCAATATCCATAGTGAAAATCGTGGCTAAATTGTTGTAATCATGACCAAGATTATTGGATATTTGTATTTAGGTGGTTTTCATTTTTTCTAATTTAACTTAATTCTACTTAGTAATAATAAGTAACATGAAGAAAACAATAAAAAGGTTGAACGAGAAGCAATCAAGTTACAGGAAAGTAATTTGTATGAAGGAATTCTTTAAGCTGTAAACGTCAAAAATTTCTCCCATAATTTTTTTTAGACAAAGAACACTCCATCAGTAATGCTGTATATAGTTTATCCTACTCAAAATGATTTGTATTACATCTTTTCTATACTCCTTTTTAGTAAGGCTCTACAATTATGACGAGATTTGAGCGTTTGACTGAATCAGCACATAGTATTCTGAGATTAAACACCTTTATAGTGTTTTCTTTAAACACAGCGCTAGTTTTCGCAGTACAATTTAATCATTGATCAACAGCCTCATCATAACACTTGGAAATGTGTATTACTGAATACTACTTTAATGGACTGAATGTAAAATGCTTGCCGTAATAAATTAAAAGCTGTCGGTATGTTACGTCCTTGATCTGTCTACCCAATAATATACAAAAGAGAACTTGTCTCGATCTAGGTTAAGGCCTTGATACGATAGGTTAACTGGTTCAATCATAAGGATAGAATTGCATGAGTCCAAACTGAGACTAACGGCCTTGGACAGAGAGATGTAGACTACTGGTTGACAAGAGAGGGAGAGAGAGAGAAGACTAGTCACCTAGAACACGAGTAGATTTGTTTCTGATTCCTGATTCCGATTAATGTAAGGAGATATATCAATGAATAGATAACTAACACGACCACAAGGCACAAACGATTAGAAAAATGCAATTGTGTCCAAACTAAGCATTGTGGTAGGGAAATGAAGAAGAAAAAATTACGTTTAAATTACAAAAACTTTAGAATAGAAAAAGGTGTAACAGTAAATTCTGTGTTAATTGAAAGATTACAATTTATTGAAATAACCAGGAACAAAACTAAATGTCAGTATTTTACAAGTTTTGAGTAAAGTGAAATAATGTTCCCAAGAATAGCTTTCGTTGTTTGTAATGGCTTCTTTATTTTTATGTTCACATCAGCGACCAATCCCGTTTTTGAGGTCGTGGGTACTGATATGACTTGTAATTATGAGATTCTCTTGGAAATACACACTGGTTTGTCTATAAATTATGTTCTCACCGATCTAGGTTTAGTGGTCTAGAGGTTTAGCGTTTGTGCACATGACTGAAATTCCTGGAATAGGTCCCCTGTGGTGTGATTGTGGATGCACACTGCTGAAAAGTTTAATACTAGGATGAGACAACTGTTCAGTACCTCCAACTTTTCGATGATTGCCTAAGTTAGATCGGTTCGTAACCTTAATAGTACTGGTTAGTTTTATTGAGTATTCAACAAGATACATGGTGTTCATTATCATGTTATGAATTTGGAGCAAAAATCCATGCTGAGCATTCTACCGACTTCGTCCAGCCATCTAGCATTGCAACACAGTGAACACAATGCCAAGTTATCATGACTTATTAATGATCACATTATATATTGATAGATATAATTCGATCAATATTAAAGACTAAAAAAAATGTACATTGGTCACTTCTCGATGATCAATCAGATCAAGGCATAGTGTATTTCTCATTAGTTAAATCTATTTGAACTATGAATGAGCGGGAAAATGAGCTTAAATACATTATTTCACGACGTGTCTGGTTATATGAACTAGGATAATGATCCTATTGAACTCTAATTATTCATATGAAGCCTAAAGACCAGTTCAGTATATTATTGCTAGTCAAGGTTTATATACTTATGTGGTGAACAAGAACATAAGTGGGGACAATTGATTGTGTTTGACCACAAACTTACAGAGCATCTCAGTAAAATCTGAGAACCATATAGTAAATAGTAAATTTGCAAAATACCAATCCATCGTCTCAAACTTGACTGTTCCATTTGCAAATATAAGTCTATTGTCTCAGATTTCATTGTTCATGCATTTTCATGCCAACTGCGTTTCATTTCTGTTCTTTCCTTCTCGATCTACCGTAATACATTCTATGCCTGACCACCATTATATACTACTTATATGGATATAAGTAATCCACACCACACTTAGTCATAATCTGTATTATTTACTCTAGAAATAATTATATTACTTAACTGTTTCTAAATTAAATATAGGCGTTAGAGGGTCCAAAATCTGTGACTTAGTTGTTTTAGTGAATAATCTATCGGTTTCTAAGACAATATATTCAAGTCATCCAGTCAGGTATTACATTGGATTAAAATGATCAATATTCACCAAATATTAATCTTGACCCAACGCTACATAGTCTTTTATACTAATCAATAATATTATCCTATTAACTATATCTAATATTAAGCACCTAATATAAACTATATATGCAAAGTGTACAATAGTTTGACAAAATTATTTAATGCATGTATAACTTATTCATTTCATCAATGCATTAATCTATGAATCATTATGCCAAACCTTTTCACTTTACCCACCCCCCTCTTTAGACCAAATATATGCATGTTAATAAGATGATTACTATTCATAGAAAGCCTATAGTTGTTGTTGTTGTTATTGTTGCCAAGACTTCATAAGATATTGTTCAAATCATTGTACCTAATTTGTATTGGTCTATTTCGTAGTAATGATGCATATTGTAAATAATAAATGGGTCGTTAATATATTGAATTTGTCAATTTTTTGTAGCAGTGGCGGATGTTTTTTATTCATCTAAGTGATGTTGTGGAATAAATGGATTCTACGTTGTTTAATTATATTCAATACATTTTACTGGGTAATTAATCTTTTGTTGAGCTGGTGACCCGATATAAGTTAAACCACCGTTGGAAATCTGAGAGCGCTGGGCAGCCATTTTGCTCTAGTATGAGGCTCCTCAGTGGAGTCTACCCACAATCCCACACGCAGGACTCGAACCCAAGATCTTCGGTCTGGCGCACAGTGAACCAGCATCCAACGGTGTCAATGTCTAACTTCACTCAATCCACGAGATCATGCAATCATCTTCCACTGTCTTCGGGGAGTAACTGCCTTACGCCCGATACGGATTAGCTCCACTGGTTAGGGTTTCTTATAAGTATTGATTAAGATAAGAGGATTATTTGACATGATTAGTTAATATTTAATTAAAATATCAAAACTATCAATAAATGATGAACCAGTTTTAATATACAATTACTATTTTAGATTACAGGATGTATTGCTTTAAGTGTTGGAATTTATGAAATCACTTATAGTGATTATCATTTTCTTCGAGGAAAATATGATTTCGGATTATTTACTGGTGAGTTCATGGTGTATATGTTTGTTTGTGCTGGATGTTTTTATAGCGATTGTATTTTCTATTTTCATCATCACGATCTGAAAGTTTGAAGTATGATTTCAAAAAAGATCGTGCTTGGTTATTTCTCGTGTCATGAACTTTAAAGAAAAAGCTGTACGTCAAGGAGTTTATACTAGTTTACTCCTTGACATCATTTAATAGATTGATAAATAGGTGTTAGATGATTGGAGGTAGTAGATGGGAAATTGTTCCTGACCCAAACATTATGTTAATTAACATTCATCCACAAGAAATACCTGGAATCTTACAGGAAATGATGCATCCTATGGGATTCGAACCCACATCACTCAGCTAAACAGACACTATCGTCTAACGATTTGGACCGGAAATTATATTCTACAGGACTGAAATATTTTTACTGGTTAATTACCAAACAATCATATTGTGTTTATCAATTCCTCTAGTGCTGATTGAGTTCTCTAAATTGAGCTTCAGTGGGGTCACTAGTTTGAGTGACTGTTGGGGATGTTAGATCCACAGAACTCACTTGGTAAATACATTCTTTTTATAATTTTATTTTGAAAATTTGAGTTTCTTCGTTTTCAAGACAAAAGCGCTTTTTTCACCGTCATGTCGTATTTTGCACTTGCGAGAATCTTAAACGCAATTGGTTAGTTGTATCTTTTGGTATGTTATTTTGTAACGCTACCCAAGGACAATTTTATGCTGTATATATACGTTTGATTTGTCCCTGTAGTTATTGTTCGTGCTTCTGGCTGCTTGCGGAATATATTTCCTCGTTCAAACTTGAACTTCTCACTCTAGTTAGCGGGACTGGGACGCATCAGAATAGCTAGCTTATTGGTCTTTGGTCACAGAGTCTTTGTTCCGTTCTCAGACTAGATGAACTCATAATCGCTTCAAATATAGTAGTGACCCAACATTCCATGTAGTATTTTGAGATTAATTGAATTTGTTCAGCACTAAATGGACTAGTAAAAAACAACATTGGTAACTGCACATTGATCAATCAATTGATAATGAAATTACTTGGATAAGTACATTAACATTGGAACAATTTGTGATGACCACTAGTAAAATCTAATTTATATATTTCAATCTTACATAAAATCTTTCAGATTCAGTTAATTTAGCCGAAGGAAAATCTTTATGTTTCAAATGAAACTAATTCATCATATCTCATCAAACCTAAAACTATTTTTATTTTCCTTTCATATAAATCTATGATTATAAAACGTTACCCAATTTCTAAAATAGTTTAGTATTGATCATTGGTATTCCTTCTTTTAAACTAGGATCTTATATGATATGTTCATGTGGGATAATTATTCTAATATCTAGTCCATTTGGTTGGGCTGGGATCCTGTCAAGATCAAGAGTTATATCAATATCAGTAAGTTTATTCGTTACATCCAATTCAATTATTTTGTTAATAATAATAATAATAATAGCAATATGAATATTTCAATGTAATCACTTAGAATATGAAGTATCTTTACTGTTTATCATTATTATTATTACTATTATTAGTGGCTTTACTCATTATTATATTTCTGGTACAATATAGAATTCTCAGCACGAAGTATTTCAATAAGTTTCCTTTTCTTATTTCTTGATCGATCCTTGCAATAAATATTAAGTAGTCGTCAGTTAGATGTTAGTAGTTCAGGAATCGGCATCTAGATAATGTATATTCCTTTTTATGCATATAACTACGATGTCTCTAATTGCACTCTTTTGTAACTTGTACTGTGAAATGTTATAAACTTTTCACGAATGCACCTGAATGGGTTATGTGACTATAAGGCATAATGCTGTGTTAAAGCAAACAAGAAAACAGATAACTTGTTGAAATAACCGGATGGCAGGAACGGGTAGTCTAGATATTCAAACAGGCCGCCTTGATCGATTTTCATTATGATAAACACAGTCTGTTCAACATGTATATGAACTATGTTTATAAGAAAAAATTACGTCGTAAATATTAGATTATATCAGTCATGTATTGAACTGAATGTCATTTCCGTTATTTTAAACATACCTGAATGTTACGAATTTCTTCTGTACACATAAATTGGGGTTATATGTACGAATTCCTATGGCTTCAGCTATATGTAGGAGGCGGGAACGAACTCCGTTGGGAAATGATGGAGGTATACGATAGATAAGTCGAAATGACTTCGATTTATCTACAGCATGACCGCTATCAATGAGATGCGCCAAGTTAGAACTGCGAATTGTTTTTATCTGGCCCTTTATAAACCAAGCTCGTAGATGTTCACTCATTCGTTGGTTAAGTTGCCTGGTAGTACGCCCTATATAGCTATCTCCACAGGAGCAGCTGAATTTGTAAATGCACATTGAGGAGGCTAACTCAGGGGCCAGATAAAAACAATTCGCAATTCTATATTGGCACATCTCATTGATACCTGGATGTTATAAAAGACTTGTTCAATTATTTCATCATTTAGTGTTTTATTATCTTCAGATTAATCCATTATTACTTTTATGAATATTTTTTACTCATTGAAACTTTTAGTGGGATTTTTCAAGTCAGTGAAGCTTTTAGTTCATTTAAGGTTTTGGTTGAGTGTTGATAACTTCTAGATGATGTTCGTATATATATATATATATATATATATATATATATATATATATATATATATATATATATATATATATATATATATATATATATATATATATATATATATGCATCGGTTCGATTTACCGCATCTGATTAGCACAACAAGATGAACACCAAATTCATAGTAGTAGTTACTTCAATGGTAGTGATATATAAAAGAAGGATTGCATTGCACGGAAAGCATTAGAGATCATAAGTACTTTCGCCTTTTTCTTCAGCTTATAATGGAAATGTGAAATTGTGATCATGAATGCATCTGGATAAACATTTTGTATTTTAATCAAATAGAATAAGTAGTATATGTAGATAGAAATCCAATGTGTCGTTAAAGCACTTATTTTATCAACTTGTAGCTACACAGAATCACTACAGACTATTGTTAGTTTGGGGATACATTTTCTCAGATCATGAAGCTTGAAAATGAACACAGAAATATGAGATTATTTTTGAAAGTCTTCAATTTATTTAGTTAATACGTGTAAGAACGCATGACTGGCCTCAGTCACTGATTGTGCCAGTCTATCACTACGGGATTTGAATCGACAACTGCATCTCTGTGCTAATGTGGTGTGGCAAATAGAACTGATGTACGCACGTACGAAGTTCTACGTTGTTACTGACTGTAAGAACGCAACATGACCTCTCAGAAAGAGTGGTGTTCTTCTAAACCGTAAAAATACCGGACTAATGAAGTTTAACTAGTATGAGAACTATGTGTAAAGTTTCTCCAGTAATCTAAATTCAAACAGAATTACGTAGTGACCGATACAATTTTACCAATGTGCCCATCGCAATTTGATAAATAGAATTCCATAAGAACTGAAGATTAGGCAAGCATGACACTGATTAGTACACAAAGGTCGATCAATTATAAATATCTCAGTCTTACAGAGGGTTAGAGATGATGTCTCAGACTGTGAAGCTAGGTAATACGGACTGTCTCGAATTATCAGTACGCTTTGCTAACACGAAAACTAGATTCAATAGGGATTCCTGCCGATGACCTCCAACCACTTGAATTCAGCTACAAGATTTACACAAAATGATCAAATAATGTAAGCTAAATTATAAAATGTAAATCTTGATTACCAATGTTAAATAAGGTCTATTAACGACGCTAAATTGAACTAAACCTGAGATATCTATAAATAATAACATATATGACACAACTATATCAAATTTCAGCGGTTTATATATTTTCATTTATGAACGAATTTCTGTCAATTTTCCGCCTTGATTGATTCTAGAAGTTAGGACCTATTAGTAAAGCGTAAAGAAAGTTACTTATAAAAGTGATAATTATATTTTAATTTACCATATTTACCAATACCGACTATCTTCCTCGCCCTCTCTCTTCCTTTCATACAAATCAACGACTAATACACTAAATTATTGGGCATTTTTCCTGTTATTGATATCCAAAACTGTAATTTTTACCAGTCTCTGTTGAGGTATAATCTTTTAACAAATATATTTCTGTCTTTTTCATTATAAGTTTTGTATTATTCTGGTACTTAATGGAATTTGTCTACTTAGTTGTGGAATATGGTCATCAAAATATTCTGAAAATGTAAGTTTATTTTGATATCATTTAAATGTAATAATATAGTTACATGGTTACAGTTTATGTCTGATTGATTAAATAATCAGAAGGGGTTTGTGGAGATTTTAGAAATTTCACAGATTGAAATCATGAGTCAATTGAAGCTAGACCAGCATGGAAAACCTGGAAGCACTGAACGGTCGTTTCATCGTAGTATGGGAATCCTCAGCAGTGCGTTGTCTCCACAAAACCTCTTTTGATAATAATCATCTGCTTACTAGTAACTGACTCCAAGAGATACTCCTGGAGTTCTAGTGAGAAGCCGTTACCAGTGGAGTTCAATCAGGTCTGTTGTGAGATATCAGCTTACTGAAGACAATGGTGTACGGTGGTGCAACTTTATGGATCGGTTGAAGTTAGACATTAACACCATTGGATACCGGCTCAGTGGTCTAGTTGGTTAAGCATCTGCCGCGAGACTGACAGGTTCTAGATTCGAATCTCGCGGGGTGTGGGATCGTGGACGCGCACTACTGAGGAGTCCCGTGCTAGGACGAGACGGCCGTCCAGTGCTTCCAGGTTTTCCATGGTGGTCTAGCTTCAATTGACTCATGATTTATATCTGACTCCAGTTTGATCGTTTTTAATTGCTGTTGAGATATACATATCCCCAATCCTCGTATATAATTATCGACTTAGCTCGCATTGGTGAATAACGGTGTTCAATAAGTCAAATACGAGAATGGATTTTTGAATATGTATATTTCGTACAATTGTTGATCGAGACAAACGACCAAAGAAAGCTAATGGAAGAGAGGGAAGCGAAATGACGCTCAGTGGAGGTGTGTGAGCCAACTCGATTTAATCAAGCGTTAATCACTATTGATAGTCACACAAAAATAAGCTACTGACATGTGATGAATAGAATAAGAAATGTACACATACGCTCATATAAAAACAGTTAAGGTTGATAAGTGAATAATTAACAAGCTTAAAACGTGACTAAAGAAGAATGAATAAATTGGACTGTCCAGAAGCTAGAATAAGTTATATTGGCTTAACATAGTAACTGACACTACATTGTACGAATGATAATTCAGAATATTGTTTTTGTAACAAAATTGCACAAACAAACGTTAGATTATACAGTTCTCAAGATAAGTCAGATAAGTGTATGTTATAAAGATTAACTTAAAAGTAACTTGGACAAATTTAACTCCATTGTTGACTAAATGGTAAAATAATTATGGTGAGACTACAATTTATGGACGACGGTTGAACGAATCTTAAGTGACTTTGAGAAATATTAGCCAATTAGGAAACAGTTAGTATAGAGTAGAAATATATTATTCATTTCTTTTGCATGATTCAAAAACTTTCCAAAGTTAGAAAGAGGTTCAGAGGTTCTAATATCGTAATACATGTGATATAGGAACTCATCCATATAGCTCGTTAATAGTAGGCCTCTAGATTCATGATAAGGTCGCAAAAACTCTTTCTGCTTCGACCACATAGCTTCAGTATTGTTTGTGTTCACTCTGGCTGTGTAAACTTGTCATTTTTTATTACTGCTGCTCTTGTTATACAGTTCGTAACAATTACTATAATTTGCTTTAGTCTCAATTTGGATCGTGCGGAAAAAGTTCCTTTTCTAGCAGACTTCTTCCTCCAACATATGCTACATCGAAAGACAACATCATCACGGTAGTCTGCACGACGTCCATAAGTCATTTGATTACCACAATCACAAATAAAGGAACTTCTTAATAGTTCCATTTGTTATAGCCGCTCAATTATCATGTTTTCTTTAAAAATCCTCTGTGAACCGATTGTACGCGAGCATCAGGTACTGAAATTGGCGTCGTGACCTTGAAATCCCTCAAGCGCTTCGGATTAGCTCGTTCATAAATTATAGTCTTGCCATAATTATAAAAAATCCCTAAAACTATTTTTGAAGATTTTTACATAATATTTAATAAATTTACTGAAGTTTTCTATGGGTTTTCCTAACTGCAACAAATCAATAAAACAATGATATATAAATTCATTCAGATGGATATAAATCATTCGTCTTCTTGAACCCTAGTAAGAATTTACAAAGAGTTTAAAGAATTATTATTTTATTCCTAGTTACAGTTTAGAGTTGAGGTTAAGTGTTTAGGGTTCGAGTATATGAATAGAATTGATTCACATATTATATCTAATCTTAAAATCAAGAATAGGAGATTTGATGAGTTTATCATTATCCATTTAATATTTCTTTATAATTCGAAGTACACTTAACACTATACAAATTGATTTCAACTTCTCATTTCATATTATACAATATAGAAGTAATAAGGGTGTAATACAGAGACAAACATAAAAATAACCGAAACGAATTTTCAACCAGTTCTTAGTAAATCAAAGAACAATTACTTTGTTAAATGGATAGTTTGTAGATAAGGAAATAAGAATACTACAATGCATAGACAGATTTCATATATTTAATAGATTAGCTAAAATCTTCTACGAGTTAATCTGCCTGTAAAACGAAAAATAACAACATAAAAACTCGTCCCCATGGATATCGATTATTTATTTTCGCCAGAATATAAAAGGCTTGAAATAGATTTCTAGGATTTTTTGATTGAGATCATGAATCGATCAATGTTAGACCATCATTGGAAACATGGAAGCACTAGATGGTCGCTTCGTTCTAGTATGGGACTCAGCAGCGTGCATCCACGAACCCACATACGGGGTCCGGACCCCAGAACTTTGTTCTCGCGCATGAACGCTTAACCTCTAGACCACTGAGCCGGCAGCTAATGGTGTTAGGTATTTAAGGCAAGAATTAGGGATTCATGTTTAGGATTTCCATCATGAACTAACATTAGCAATAAGGGGAAACTGCTATGTAGACAAATGTATAGATACATTTAGCACAACAAATTAAGAAGCGATATCTGATAAGTTCATTCATAAAATATAGTGCCATCAGGTTAAGGTTTATTCAGCATTAAGATTTTAGGTTAGAATTTAACGATAGTGCAGATTCCCTTTGTCATATTGTGGTGTTTGAATGAACTAATGATTCTTTTGTACTTGTTGAATGCTTGATTTCGAATTATAAATACAGTACATTCGTTCGTGCTTATCTAGTACTTCTTGATCCGATTACGTTATTTCTGGGATTCTTAGTTCGTACTATAATTCAAATACTCCTAATCATCATATTGGTGTCGCGATGGAGCCTGTGATGGAATTGTTGGATATACATTCAGATTTAGATGCTTTTGAGGATTATTTTGAAAGGTTCGAAATCTCGGCTATGACCAAGGAAGATGATGAGGATGTTAATATTGTAGCACATTTCCTCACATTCATCGGAAAAGAAGCACATAACTTACTAAAAACTCTGGCTATGCCAGAAAAGCCCATTTCGCTTCCTTATACTGCTCTCAAGGAATTACTGCTAGACTATGTTAATTATACAAATTTCGATTGCGGTAAAGGGAGATTTCTTAAAATGATTCACAAGGATATAAGAAATTCCACTAGATTACGTCATCCCAACCCAGTGCATACTCAAGGATATGGAGATAATTCATTGAGGAGTTGCAATGCATTTCACGAAGATGGGCACAAGTTTGGTCAGTGTTTGTCCTGTGGCAAGTTCCACTCTTTTAATTCATGTAAATTTCGTAATTCTATGTGCTTTAAAATTGGTGATATTGGACATATTTAGTTAGTCTATAATACTAATGTTCATCTTATTGCAACTAATATTAAGTCTTGTAATTCTGATTCGGCGAGACTCTAATTTATGGACGAGCCAATCAGAAGCGTTTTAGAGACTTCAAGGTTACGACGCCAACTTCAGGGCTTGATGCTAATGTACGATGGGTTCGCAAGAAATTTTGTTCAAAAGGTGTTAATTTAGCGACTATAACAAATAAAACGGCAAGACTATAATTTGTGGACGAGCCCATCAGGTATAAGATAACAAATCTCGGATTTTGGAGCGAAAGTCTTTTATCCATTTGGTTAAATATGGTTTTGACATTATAGCTGATGTCAGTTCGTGATGAAAAACCCATATATAATTCCTAACTGAGGCAAATTACGACAATTATTGCGAACTGGATAATAAGAGCACCAGTAACACTGGCTGCAGCCAGGTACTACAATATATACGATGCTTAGAGAGCGTACAGACTCCTACATAGGCTTGGTTAAGTGCATCATGTCGTTATCCACAAGTAGCATTTTATGTACTCAGCAACCGAAGTGCATATAAACAATATAGAAACTATGTGGTCGAGGCTGAAAGAGTTTTTGACACTTTATCATGGCTCCGGAGGCCAGCTATTCTGTAGCCGTATGTATGATTTTCTAAACTGTATGGATTACTAATTTAGAACCTCTTTCTAACCTTTTGGAAGCACGTATAAGAAGTGTATCCACTTTATTTCCTTGGTTTTGTATAATATATTTTTACTCTATACTTACTGTACGCTGATTGGCTCATATTCTGAAGGTCACTTAAGATTCGCTCAAAGGTCGTCCATAAATTGGAGTTGCGTCCCTGATTCTATTAAGTCCGGTGTTCCTAATGATCAATTATCCTTATCATCGATTTCAAAAGACAGTGTAGAGTCATATAGCAGTTCGGAGTTAAATGAAACTCAGAATTCTTGTGAGATGACAGTTTCTAATCTACCAACTTCTTATCAGATCTCTCATGTTATGTACCAGATATAGTTTGTCTTAATGATTCACATATTCCTGATGAAAGTTCTAACAAATCTGAGGAAAATATGTTGAGTGAATCTAATCTTGATCGGAAACCTGATGCAGTGTTGATAGATGCTGATCTTTCTAATGATCCTTTACTCTGCAATGACATTCATAATAAATTTGAGGAAAGTATTTCAGAAAAATCAAATCTTGATGTCGTATCAAGTATTATTTGTTCTCATAATGCATTTGTTTCTTGTGGAAAACTTATGCACTGCGAAGCGCAGGTAGCAAATGAGCTGAATTTTGATTACAATTCGGATGATTTCATATCAACTGTTGTTTATCCTTACCACAAAGTCAATTCTAATGTTTACTCTAAACAACGTGAGAAATATATTTTAAATGAAGCCACATCATTCACAACTTAGGGATATAAAGATCCAACATTATTTCGTGGGGGAGGATAGTCTGAAAGTCTATAGTTCAAATTCTAGGTAGCAGTAGTTTCAGTACTCAATCACAGGAAGCAGACAATACAGAGTCTTTATCCAATACACTGTTGAACAGACACAGAATGAACTTAAGAAGAAGACATACAATCAATTACAGACACCTAGACTCCAATTTAAGCTGTGGCGGATGTGGTGTTCGAATGAACTAATGATTCTTTTGTACTTGTTGAATGTTTGATTTCGAATTATAAATACAGTACATTCGTCCGTTCTTATCTAGTACTTCTTGATCAAATTGCTTTATTTCTGGGATTCTTAGTTCGTACTATAATTCAAATACTCCTAATTATCACACATATGCAATCTGTAGGAACAGAATTTGGGGTAGAAAAAAGTAATTTTCAATTATCATTTTAAATATTTTGAACAATGTACAAAAGTTAGTAGAAAATTGGATTGCTGACAAAATTGTTTTTAATACTCATTATACATAGCATTTGAATTCTGAGCAAAATCTCAAGAGTCACTTTCTCAATTCTGAATAGCTAGTATGTATACCATCCCTTTTTACTGACTGATCATTATATACACTACAAATTTATGTATATTAATCCAACAACACATATGTGTATCCTGTGCGGACTGCCTTGATATTGCCTGAAGTCACAAGCATTATGATCAAAGACGAATAGTGGGTAGAAGTGGAATCCAGGACGCGCGTTTAGTCCCATTTGGGACTCACCAGCTGGGTGTACGTGCATCGCAGAGATGATGTTCACCCTGGGACTCGAACCCAGTACCGTTCGCTTCAAACGCCATCGCGTTATCCACTTAGCTACTGAGCCCTGATGGCCACCTGCTTGTGCAATGGGGTGAAGTTATATTCACTTCGTGTTGTTTATTTATATCTTCCCATTGTTATTTAGGATTGCAATTGATCAGTCTGTTGTTGGTATATATGCATCCTGTGCGGACTGCCTCGATATTGCTTAAAGTCATGAAACGCATATCCTAGATTCCACCGCTAACCATTATCCATCTTTACTTAAATAAGTAACCAATTTATAAAATATCATTCAACTAACAAGAATAAAGTTGAACTTGTTTATAAAACAATTTTTAGATTACTTTAATACTGTAACATTGATCTTTATCAACATCATTTAATTTAACATTCTTTTAGATACACATTGAGCTAAATGAAATGTTTGATAATTTACTAAAAAATTATGATGAGAAACGTTTAATGGTGAATGATGAAACTAAATTTCTCAATTACATTCAATATAAAGTGAGTAATATGAACATAAATTTTCTTTTTTAAATAGCAAACAACTGGAAAGTCATCAAGTACTGTAGAATATCGATACATGGAAACCATTATTCTCATTTCTCTCCTAGTTCCAGCTATTTTAAATGACAAGGATTACAAAAAAAATACAGGTTTATTTTGATAAAGAATGAATTAGACAGAATGGAAGTATGAATATAGGTACGGTGACTTTGAAAGCAGGACAGGAAATCAGTTTAGTAAAAAGAGTAACTACCCAATAAAAAAAGAAATCATTTAGTGGTTGTAAATATGAGGATTGGTTCCTTTGACTAAGTAAAAAATGAAAACAAAAAAAAGTGTATATACTGAAAGCAACAAAATAAACTAGTAAATAAGTGATTTTCTGGAGACTTAAGATTACTAACAACTGAATAGATGATTCATCCTTAATGATCTACAATCCTCACTCCTTAGGGAATGAAATACACAACCCTCAAATCTAGAACTAAATACACAACACTCTTAGTATACCAAGTTGTAATCTGTTATTTTAAAATACCAACGTCAGTTACATTGCAAGCAGTACCATCTTCATTCACTGTTTTCTGTAAGTACTCATCTAACTGACAACTTTGTTGAATTCACAGATCATAACTTTCTACTAAGACTTCAGGAACTATATTTCAAAGACAATCATTACTAAGCTCATAAGTATCATCCAGTGCAGTGACTTTAAGGTGTTTATTTTTTTAAATATAAGCACAATTTTCATTACATCGTATGTTAACACTGCTGGAAATTTCAAACCTAAGATGAAACAGTTGTCCAATTCTTCCAGAGTTTTTTTGTTCTTTGTGTGTTGTTTGTTCTTAGTAAAGGGTGTTTTTAGTATTTATCAGAAGAAAAGTTTTTTTTTTTGTAAGACCTGTCATCTACCTAAAGGAGCGGTTGTCTAAGTTACTTACTAGTTTGAAAAAATCCTCTTCATAATCAGACATTTCAAATGATAAACAAAATAGATATATACAACCAAAAACTATGAAACATTAATACAGTGCGTTCAATATTTGATTGTCTATGGAAACAAACAGGAAGTTTCAACAACAAAAGTATTAGGGTGGTAAAAGTCCAAGTTATATTTATGTCTTTAGTGATATATCACTAAGAGTGATTTGAAAACAAAAACACTAACTGGTTAATGAGTTATGACAAAAACCACTGGTGTCTAGTCTTTAGTTCTGATCAAACTGTATCATTCAACTTGTCAAGTAACCACTAATAAAGGGTAACACCTTTGACTGAAACGTTGAGTTATGTGGCTTCGATCCACATGGAAACGACCAGTTCTACCGAGATGATGAACGTCGAGAGATACAAAACCTAGTTTCAAGGCATCTTATCTTACTGTCAAAATAGAAATATAAAGTAAACAAATTAATTTACCCATAATATCTACACATGTTTCATATTCTGTATTATCTTTTTAATAAATTGTGAATGTCTTATTATGCAGCATTGTATTTCCCTTTACATCAATTGAAAAACTTAAACCGCTTCGTAACTTAGTGATTAGTGAATTCACGAAATTCTTCAGTTGAACACTTAAAGTTCATCATTGAGAGGCTTATGCAACCCAATACATATTTAACTCAATAATCTTTTGCATGGTAAATTAAGTTCTCAATTGTAAAATTCAAAAGAAAATATTTATTACACAATCTAACATTTGATGGTGACCAGAAGAGAAGTCTATCTGGCTTGAAATATTAAAACCAAGGGAAGTACACCATATGAATCCTCACAAAAATAATGCTATCTATCAAATTTAGTTAGTGGCTAGAAGCAGAATCCAAGACGCACATTTCATTGTGTTCGTGACTCGTTAACCAGATGTACTTGTCATATCCCAGTGTTAATGTTTACTCCAAGGCTCAAATCAATTGTCTTTAGTTTCAAAACCCAGCTTGTTATCTACTGACCGGCTGCGTCCAGATAGCCATTAGCTTAATGTAATGGGTATGAATTGCTATTTCTTTTCTCTAGGGATTCAATATTTTAAAATCACCATTCTGATAGTAACAATAATTATCCTTTTGTAGTTTGATTGCTGTGGTAAATTAAATGTTGAAGATTTGTTAGATCGTAAACCAATTATTGCATGTGGAATGAAACCAATTGAGAAGAAGGTATGTTCAATTTTTTAGGATTATTATTGTCATTAACAGTGTAATTAATAATTCATTCAATTAGGGATGTTTAACGAAAGTTATTGGCACGACAAAATCCGGTCAATTTCGTATTGCATTTGTTAGCATCTGTATAGCAATGTGGCAGGTCAGTAAATAACTAACTATTAAGTAGTGTAATTATTATTATTAGATTTTTTATGAAATATCAATCATCAAATATGTATATCACGGGTTGACCTTAGTTAAACAACCGCTGGAAACCAGAAAGAGCTGGACAAATGTACAGTCGAAGTATAGGACTCCTTAGTAATGATTAACCATGATCCTATCGGAGACAGAATCTAGAATCCTTGATCTCGAGGTGAAAATCTTATCTTTAGACCATTGATCTGGCATCCAATGGCTTAAACATTTAATTTCAACCAATCATCTTCGAATCACACTAGTGATTAACTGTACTCGGCATGACATAGCTCCATCAACTAAACGTATAAAGTATTAAATACCTGCTTATTGGACGGAAGGTTAAGTATTGGCAGTGAAACCAGAATTCCTGGATTTGAACACTGGCGGGGCCATGTGTGTGCACTGCTGGGTGGTACAATATTAGAAGGGAAAGGCATTTCAGTGCTTCCTGGTTCACAGTAGTTGATTAATCAGGATCAGTTCGTTATGTCAACTTCAAAATTTACTAATTTTCACGATCCCCGTAGAATAATAAAGTTATTGTTTTCTTCCTTGTGAAGTCATAACAATTGTGCCTAGCCCACTCAAATTTTTGCTATGGCTGTTTTGTAACTATGCACGTTTTTCGAGGAATTCTCATATTTTAAACTTATTTTAAAAGTTGATTATGCACGTAAGGTAAAAACAAATGTATTCGTGAGGTTTTGTAGTTAATCGATAACTTAATGTGATATTAAATGCTATAAGATATTTTCAAAGTTGAATTCACTAGTCGATCTAAGCTAGATCACTGCTGAAAACCTGGAAGAACTGGATGGCCGTTTCATCCTTCATGTGAAACCATGAAGCGCACTACTGAGGAATCTCATACTAGGACAGAACGGCTGTTCAATATTTCCAATAGTGATCTAGCTTAGATCAACTCGTGAAATGAACTTTGAAAATACAATCTCCACAAATCCCTATACTGACTATAAGATATCATAATGGTTTGTATATTTTTCTTCTTGCCTATGCTTTACACTAGAATATATACATATTACATCATGTGAAAAAAGTTGGAAATGTATTGCATTCAAATTTGATTAACAGTTGAAACATATTTTAATATATTTCCAGGATTATTTTATTTTATTTTAACACACAGATATTGGTACAAGGAGGCATTAAATACATATGCGTCACACAGATCTCAATTGATATGTGCGAGGGCTGTGATACTGTACGGGTGCCTAAACCGAAGCAGGTGGTTGTCTTAAATGGTCACTACCTAACTCTTTGAACTAGAGGTCTAATCCATAAGGCAGTGGAGCATCGTAAGGAGATGCAGTCTCATGGTAGCCTATCAATAATTGGTTCATACGACATTTGTTCCCTCAGGGTATTAGAGCCCATGTACACCATTGGTTTGGAATCAAGGTTTTCCAACTCCCCTAGATGGACTCTTTGTGTCCACTAACCCGGTTAAAGAGCCGGACACTCGCTTTTCGTCCTCTCAATTTCGTAAACAACACCCCCACCACGAGAAGGCAGTGAGTAGGACTTCCTATCAGAGGTTATATACGCGTGGCCATGTGAGAGCATTTGGAGAGGGAGAGCGGACTCTCCCCACTCTTGGCCGTACCACGGCATTTGGGGGATGAAATATATTCTAAGATGGGATTATATCAATATTGTAACTTTTAGCATGGGATCATTGTTTTGATTTTCTGAATTATTATTTTCATTAACCTTTGTACCTTACCTAAATCGTATACCTGTCCTCTTTTAGTTTTTCGGTATCATTATTTACTCCTTCTTTACTTGTTCAAACTGGAATAATCAAAATCACCATGATCATCATTTTGATTATTAGTATTCAAAAAAAAGAATACAAGGAACTTTGAATAACGATAATGATGGAAAGAATTTTTAGACAGCAGTATATGTTACTATAAAATATACTGGTATCTATGCCTTAACAAGAAATAAAAAAATGAATTGACAATATTCAGTGAGGATAATTATTTTGATTATATTAGCAATCACAGAGAGAGAGAGGGAAAAAAAGAAAGATTCCTTGGTTACAACTGTATTATGTCTTTTTCTTTTCTAATTTACTTGTTTAAATTAATCAATTAGGTTACAAAACTTCTATGGTAAAATAAAAAGAAATCATGGAGAATGTTAAATGATAGTTGAGACAGATTTTTGTATTTATCATTGATAAATCTTAGTTGATGTACTGCTAAAGATCAGTGAGCATTATATAGTTGTTTGAGTAGATTTTAACACTTCACATTAGTGTATATACATGACTTTTTCAGCAAAACGAATAGTTTGAAGGTAGCATTCTTCAACTTTACACAATTTCCGAAGTGTCATCCAATACACTTTCTGCTATCTGTTTCATTCCTGATATTGTTATACTCCAAACGTTTAGTATGCTTCAAATCATTAGTGACATTATTAGGATAGAGGGTCTGAGAAAAGTGTGTTTTTCGGCTCAACCCATTCAAGGACTAAATAAATGAAGGAACTGACGAAATGCGTTTTGGGATTCAGTAACAAAACATGGTGTGTATTGAATGAATATTTTGTCAGTAATGTTGTATGTTTCTGATTATGACATTAGGTGGTGGGTTTACAAGTTCCATCAAAAAACTACTTCTTTCAAGTATGTAAATACATCTTAATAATAACTGATAACCAACACGGCATCTAAGTAAGAAGTTTCCATACAATTGTCCCCAGCCTCCTCACTGCAGATCGTAATACTGAATCATTTAGACTAGTTTTAATGGGAATAAAACGCTGAAAATCCCTGAACAGCATTCCATTGCACAGTATTGTCATTCATTTGTTTCTTGTCTTGTATTCAACTTTTATTTAGGTCACTTGGTAACCACACTTTATGTTCGATGCCTGGATATACCTAACCATAACATACGTCAAAGCATGATGTTTGGTGGTATATGCTGGAAGAACGTTGGAAGCAGCCAAAAGCTATAAAGTCGTGTAGACAGGTGCAGGCCACCTGATTAGGATGTGGGGTTATCGTGACCAGTGATTAGTGACATCATTACTAATACTATAGTAAAGCGGACTCAATAAATTAGTGATCTTATCACGTAGGTATATGGAAGTTGAATGCCGGCTCAGTGGTCCAGTAGGTTAAGTGTTCGCGCGCGAGACTGAAGGCCCTGGGCTCGAATCCAGCGAGCGGGATCGTGGATGCGCACTGCTGAGAAGTCCCACAATAAAACGAAACGGCCGTCCAGTGCATTCAGGATTTCCATGGTGGTCTAGCCTCAATTAACTCATGATCTCAACCATTGAAATCATTACAATATCCACAAAACCCTTCTGATATTATATATATATATATGTCAATTCGTGGAGTAAATAAACCTACATTATACTAAAATTGCCAAATAAATTTCCAGTAGTTGGGGAATGTTTACAGTCGTAATCTCTTCGACTGCATTGACAACACACATTACTATGATTCGAAAAGAAAATATTGTAGTTTTAATTATTCTCATTGGCAAAATAAAAGACAAATAAAACAGGTATATTAATATTATTATCATTGTCCCTTCTTTTGTATATCAATCGTATACATAAAACAACAAATTATTCAAAAGATCGGCAAATTAAAAAAATACAGACATATTTGAGGCAAAGTAAAAAGTGTGCACACCCAGAGGAAACCTGCCTCCAACTAAAATAGTAGATGTGCCAAAGAAATAATGACCAGTCGAAAATGTATAGTAATAATACTTAGTATTATTACATATCCATGGGTAGAAGACTTGATAATCCGCCTTGGCCACCACTGAAGCCACTGGTAATGATTTTTAGCTAGATTATGAACATTTGGAAAGAGAAAAAGAAACGCTGGATGAAGGAAAACCCATTTATCAAGTTACTATGTAGTGCAACAGGAAAAACACTAAAAACGATACCACTACCAATACTATTAATAATAATAATGGTCGTTAAAACTAGTCAGGATGATAGGACGTCATAAAAACTGACTTTTAAGAAGTATCCGAAATAAGTATATTTTACAGAAAATATGTAGTTTATATTATGGATTGGAGTTTGGTTATACAATTATCAAAAATAAAGGACTGGACATCTGATGTTTACTATCTAGTATCAAGTAATTAATCGTGAAAAATCTAGTATAAAAAAGAAGGGGAAAACTTTAAATGTAAACACCTAAATTATTACTTTCTTTCACATTCTCACAACAGCTGGAAGAATGAAACTAGTGACTGTAGTGAGATTTGACGGAGAGACAGAGTGATAGAAAAAGGCAGAAAACTAAAATTTAAACCCTTTGGTTCTCAACTCAGTTGTTTAAAGGCTAAGAGATCATTGAGAGGCTTGAATTTCATCGGTCCGATCCCTGATACGATCGTAGGTGTGAAATATTGAGGTGTTTCATTTTAGTAAGAAACAACCGTCTAGTCCATCGTGTTTCTCGTTGGTTATCTAAGGTTACTTTATGAGGAAGATAAGAAAGTTAACAATCGCCACAAATCATTCGTACTAAAAAATAATATCATCAATACATAATTCAGTTAGTCAATCATAACCAGTGTAGGACCAACCACGGGAAAATGTATCGGTTCAAGTTGCCAAAACTACATCAGTACACTAAGTTGGGAAAGTAAAAAGATGAACGATAGACAAAAAGTTGGAGTAACTGTAATATTTAAAATTAGATTTAAAAGAGACTAAACAGAGAATATAAATATAAAAGTAGGAGCGAAGTACCATTAAAATCCAAGACCAATAGGAAGATAGAAGATAAATGGATCTACACCACCAGGATAGATACTGAGCCACATTACTACTACAAAACATCTGCAATCCCTGATCATGATTATTATGCCGACACACACTAGATGGTTTATAGATCTGCTAACATGGTACAAAAAAATATATGGTTTTCGGTGCTCTTTTTTGTGGTCTAATCTGACACAACGCAGTACTGAGCACAGAGATAAGTCACTCGTTAAGGTTACGTTGCATTTGTCTAAACCATTTCAATCGGTGAGAACTTACAGCCGTATCAGTCGAGTCGTCATTTTTACTTAGCTACCACCTAATATTTACAACATCAATATTGCTAATTTGATTTTTCCACCATACACGAGACTGATAATTTGAAGATATCAGTGATCAAAAATACTAGTAATTCAATGGTTATTAGTTGAGCCTCATTAATAAGCCAGTCAGTCATACACAACATAGAGACTGGTACAAACATGTGTTAGTTCAAATACCCATGTCACATCAGCACAACAAAATGAAATTAACATAACGAATAATAAACGAATCGAAATAATGATAGTATCAATGATACCGGAACAGAGTAAGCATTAAGTATATATTTCAAGAAGACGAAATGAAAAGTTATGTATGATGAAATGCTGGAACTGAAGGTTTAAAATAAGAATGGATGCATCTGTATCACTGTGAGACATACTGAATTAAGTCACTCTAAGTCTGTAACCACTGATTGTGGTAATTATACAGACCTCACCTCAACCAGGTAATTTGTATATACCAACATTAGCAATCTGGGTCTTTTTACAATTCCATTTATCATGATGTGTTGCTCAACAACCTATTCATAATTTTTTAATTGTGAATATCATTTATACATTTTGAAAAAACACAGTCTTACTTTGAACATTGAAGAGGGCTTATTATTTACGATTGAGTGGGATGGTGTAATAACTTCAAATAGTTCACGACATAATCCAATAGGTAAACTACCACTACCCAATGGTACAAGAATAATATAATCAGATTTGTACAAAGAACATTTTTCATTTTCCCCGACGCTTCCGCTACCACCGGGAATGCGAATGAATCGACTATATGATAAAAGTAATATATATGAAGTAATAGACACGTAGTGGTGTAAAACAATATTCCGAATTGACTGAAAAAATAACATTTTACTAAATATAACATGAAAAGTATTGCATCACTACTGATTAGTGTCGTGTGGATCTTGGAGGGGGGCATCTTCGTTTTTCTTCACCAAAACAATAAACTAACGTTGAACCGAAGCAACATATCAGCCTTTCGATTAAACATAATTCTGAACTAACATCATTTGACGATAGTATTCTCTATTCCCTGACTGCTATCATAGTAATTGATCAATTTTTGCTACTAACATTAAAATTTTCAGTAAACCGATAAAAACTGGAACATCTAACAATACTGTGATATATTGTTTTGAAACAACAATTGGTTTGTACATTATTATTGAGGGCTTTATTCGTAATTATAATAAAATGCCTTCAAGTGGGATTATGGAGTTTCCCTGTCTTCAAATGCTGGTCAATTTGTGGCTACTGACGTTCGTTTCGAACAGCTTTAGCAATTTCAACATCATACACCATATTAAGTATTGTTACTTATTCTAAGTACACATTTAAACTGATCCGATACAATTCACCGATGCTTTTACAACAACGAACAATGAATACCATCGCTCTGAATGACACCATTTGTTTCAGTGAGCTGAAGGAGTATCAAATGGCAGCTTCTACTCTATGACACTTTTAAACATAACAAAAAATGTCTAATCAACTGTTATCATTCCAGCTTCTAATATAGGGTTTGTGACTTCTCCACAAAAAGTTGATCTATTTATTAGTGTTTTAAAAGTTAAGCACCCGTGGGCGAGATAAAAGGTTCTGGGTTTGGTCTCCAGTGAGGTAGTGGATGAACACTGCTGAAGAGTCCCATACGTACGAAGTAACTTGTCCAGTGTTCACTAGTTTTCAGTCATTATCTAACTTAGGTATGTCAGTGATATCGCTATCATCCAATAATTTCCTCAGACCCTCTGTACAGATAAAGTCATAAAACTAGCCTATATATTCAGCATTGATTGCCTTCAAGAATAAGGTCGATAATCTAGTCATTATCCAATATCGACTTGCTTGATTATCATACGTACC